TGCCATATTCAGTTTTTCGAAAAAACTGCCAAAAGCACTTCCAGCTTGCAAACCGACTTCAAAAATGCATGTTCGCAGTGGTCATCTTCTTTACATTGTTGCCTTTTTCACCGGTTTATAGTGAAAGTTATAGATGAGCTGCTGGCATATACTGTGCGAGCGTCAGATTCATCATATCCGAAAACATTATTTTGCTGCTGTTATGCGCCAAGATATGAGCTGGTTTGACGTGCATGAATGCGGGGAGCTGACTACAAGAATGACTGAGTACGCTTCCGGAAAATAATTCTTCCTGCGGTTTTCAAGCTATCACAAATTCCACTAGTCAGTGCCTTTTCTTTGCACTGGCTGACAGGGAATATGGGGAGAAGAAATCCTCGTTTTAATTCACTAATTTTTATTAAATAAATCAAAAACTGTGTGTTTTTGTTTGAAGTGGAATTGATCGGATCAGAGATGGCATCGGTGATAAGATGGGCACTTTATTTACATACGGAGCAGGATCTGTTAGTGGAATTGTGGTTGCTTTCACATGCAGGTAATACCAAACTTTTCTAGAATACTTCTCAAGCTCGAGCGCTAGAGGAAACCAAAAAATCACTTGCTAATGGCATTTTTAGGCTCAGGGGCAAACAGTGCTAAAAATCCAGCAGTGCACCTACCAGGAGGGGTCTTGTGTAAATTTGTACTACTTTCTGAAAAAGTATAAAAAATCTTCATTTTTTCTTACTTTCGTTAGTTTTTTTTTCGTTACATTACATTTAATTAAAAACCAGTAATTGATGGTCTTTCGGTGTGAATAGTTAACAAATTTTTAAACGGATCTTATGGATTTTCTGAATTCCTTTTAATACTTTTCAAGAATAATTCCATTTAAAAAAGTCCATCTAACGCACCATAGATACGCATTGCTATAGAACGAACACGTCCTAACAGATGGGTCCCTACACAGTTCCAGTGCTCTGCATTTGCTATTTACAAACGTTCTTTGACAAAATATTGCATAATATTTTATGATTACAGTTGGCGCATGACACTGATTATATTGGCATTTCTACCTGTTCTGGCTGGACTGATGGGCTTTCTCACAACAGTAAGGGCATTTCCTATAAATTCCCAAGAAATATTAAAAATTACCAACTGAAATAAAGATAATATTCTTCCTTGCTTGCGCGCAGCAAAGGCTCTTCTACACTTGTTCAGAGTTAAAGAAAGCAAACCACAGATATATTTATAAATGCAAGAAATTCCCGTAAAAAATGCTTTAACACACATTTGCTGTCATTTATGCCGTAAAGCACACTTCTCAGGTAAAAAAAAAAAATATTAACAGCGCAATTCGCAATTTCAGTGCTCATCCTACTCGGGGCAGCACGGCTTCGTGTATAAATCCTCTAGAACGCCTGTAACCTTATCTACTTTCATGACTGTAAGAGCAGTCGGCATTCCACTGCGGCCAGTACATTCTGTGCGTAACTGTCAGGTGTAAACAAGGATCAACTTGGTAAATAATAATTATAGGCCGCCAGCTATGCTTCTTGCCTAGATTCAAAGTCAAAAGTCAAAACTTCCTCCTCATTCACTTTGTGTAAAAGGCGGAGGCATCCGAGAAGTAGCCTAAGCGGTAGCAAATGCTAGTGACAACCAACTCTTGTCGAAGGCTGCTTACGAGGGGGCATGGCGAATTTAATTCTTTGATAATTTGCGAGTACCAATTTATCATCGAAATGAAAGATATGAGTCATAGAGGGTGATTGATTTTCCCACTGAACTCAACCTACAACAAAATAGCACAGAAATTACTACTGCGTCCTGCTCGCTGTCACTTAAATAGCGAATTCCAAAAAGATTTCATTCTTGACTTTTGCACAGATTAATGAGATAAAACAGTGTAAAATCAGGATCCGATGCATCTAGTCTATTTTTTTACTCGCTCACACTAAAAAAAATCAAGAAAAAAAATCGTAGTAATATATTGTAATTGAGTTTGTCTCAACCAGTGTACGGAAGGAAATGCGAGCATATGAAAAGGCTGGTGCTATTGCTGAGGAAGTTATCACGGGCATTCGAACAGTAATCGCTTTCAATGGTCAGAACAAAGAAATTGATAGGTAAGTGCGATCATTAGCCGCTGGAATCTGCGATCCATGCTAATCTTTCTCTGAGCTCATTGGGATATCGAGATTAACTTGCATAAGTGTTATCTCAATACTGCAATAAAATATTTTAACGTTGAAAAGAAGAAATTAATAAAATTTTAAATGTAATGAAAATTATTTTCAACGGTAAGAAACGTTTCGGTCCATTAAATCGTATTTAATTAGATCATCGTCAAGGGTTAACTACGTTGTATTCATTTATTCCAGGTACCGAAAAAAGCTAGATATAGCTTCAGCTTCCGGTGTGCGCAAAGCATTCTTGATCGCACTCGGTACAGGCTGGCTCTTCTGTTTTGTTTTCGTCGCCATGGGAATTGCATTCTGGTAAGTGTAAAGATACTTGTTAGGCTTAAGTAAAACTGCAGAGGCTATTCAAAAAGCAGACAGTAGTTAACAGTAAAATGTACTGAAAATATTAAAGGCTGAAACCTATACTGTATGTGACAATTTTGGCTGAGTATAAGATGCTTTGGGAAAAATTTTTCACAATTGCATTTTAATACTCTCACATATGCCAGAATAATCGTGGAAGCAGAAAAACACATTATTTTTCTTTTCACTGCGAGTAATCCTGAAATTAGGTAAATTTCTTTGAAATGCAGGTATGGCACAATAATATTTAACTGGGGACTCATCGAGCCAGGTGCTGTCTTCGCAACATTTTGGGCAGTAATGAGCAGCGCCATGTCGCTAGGACTGGCCGCTCCACAAGTTGGTGCGCTAATGGCAGCTCGGAATGCAGCTAGTGCGATTTTCGAAGTTATCGACCGGGTAAAGTCGTCGAATTTGCATTCTTCCTTGGATCACTTTATGCGTTTTTATGCGTTTTTGCCGTGCAGCGCTAGAGCGCTGCAACAGGCAGCAAAAACGCAT